TGAAAATAGAGTTGTCAATATAGCTAATTGCTATTTCCATCTCTGATGAACAATCATTTTGTATAATTGTCAGCTTTCATACCTTTGGCAATAATTACCAGCTAGATGTTTAGATACCTGAAAGTTGTTTCAAACCGGATGATTCTCTTATGGAAGAGTATTTAGTTGAAAGTAATGGCTCAAGGCCTATACTTCTTTCTAAATTATGTTCTAAAGAGAGCATGCATCTATTTTTTTGTACATTTTGTTATAGTAGTTCAAGCCTAACGTAGTTGTTAAAGGCTTTGCCTTATATGTACTTCTTATGGTTCTAATTAATATAAATGCTTAACTTCCGGAAAGAAAAAAAACATTTTGTATAATTCTTAAGGCTAGCGAAAAGAAGTTCTTAAATAGTTTTGTGAAATTTTTGTTATTTCATGAATTTTTATGATTAACTACACCTCTTGCAATATATTCGCTTTTTCGCCTTATGTTTCCTTATATCATAGTATGGACCAAGCATTCGGATCATATCCCTTAAATATATTATATATCAAGTTTTTTATCATTCAATAAACTAACACATGTCATCCAAAATAACACCTAAACAAATATATGCAACACGAAAAAAAATCAATATCCTACCACAGTTGTTGTGGTTTGTTTTGATCCACTTCCTTTTGTAAGAGTTTTATTTCAAGATATATTGTTTCCATGTAGTTATTTCTCATTTTAACTATGATAAATTTTCATTTCTTTTGGACAAAATATTACAGGCATGAATCAAAGTTTATCCAAAAAATTGTTGAGGAAGTTTTATACAAAGTGAGCCACACATATCTAAACGTCTCCACGCATCCGATTGGATTAGATTCTCGTGTTAAAGACATAAGGTTGTTACTAACCAATGGATCAAGTGACATCCAAATGATTGGGATCTTTGGCATGACAGGAATTGGCAAGACGACAATTGCCAAAGCAGTCTATAATCAAGTTTTTCAGCAATTTGAAGGTTCTTGTTTTCTGGGGAATGTGAGTGAAATTTCAAAACAACTCAATGGTCTAGTTCATTTACAAGAGCAACTTCTTTTTGAAATTTTTATGAAAAAAGGTCCTAGTATTGGCAACATTGATAGGGGAATTAGCTGGATTAAAAAAAGACTTCGTTCTAAAAGAATACTTATTGTTCTTGATGATGTTGATCATATTAGCCAATTAAATTCATTAGCAGGGAGTCGTGATTGGTTTGGGTTAGGTAGTAGAATTATTATCACAACTAGAGATGAGCATTTGCTAAATAAAGTTCAAGTAGATGTGAAATATGAAGCGAAGGAATTGAACTACAACGAATCTCTACAACTTTTCAGTTGGCATGCCTTCAGACAAGCCATACCATTAGAAGATTATTTGGAGCTTTCAAATGGCATAATAAACTATGCCCAAGGGCTTCCGTTAGCTCTTGAAGTATTGGGATCTTATATGTTTGGAAGAACCATACCAGAATGGATAAGTGCATTTGAGAAATTAAAACACATTCCTCACAATGAAATTCAGAAAAAACTCCGAATAAGCTTCGATGCACTAGAGGATGATCAAGTAAAGGACATATTCCTTGACATTGCTTGCTTTTTCGTCGGAATGGATAAAGATTATATCATATATATATTGAATGGTTGTGGTTTTTCCTCGGAAATTGGAATCAGTGTCCTAATAAGTAGATGTTTGCTAAAAATTAATGAACAAAATCAATTGAGCATGCATGATTTGCTACGAGAGATGGGGCGAAAAATTATTTGTGAAGAATCACCGAAAGAGCTTGGAAAGCGTAGCAGATTGTGGTTTCATGAAGACGTATGTGACGTGCTACAAACAAACAAGGTAATAAAAAACTACTTTCTTTCAATTGGAAAACTTTACTCTTGCTTAGTGCATATATTTTATTTTTGTTTCTATATGTGTGTGTGTGTGTATATACTCATATAGTTTGCGACATACACAACATGCTTTGTGTGTGTGGTTGATGCCTATATCTAGTTAGTTACTTATAAAAACCCATTTCCTTTATGAAATTTAGGGCACAAATGAAATTGAAGGTATTGTTTTGGATTTGCCACTCTTAAAGGATGTAGATTTTAGGACTGAATCATTTGCAAGGATGCAGAAATTAAGACTACTTCGGATCAACAATGTGCGTCTCACCGGAAACTTTGAATATCTATCTGGAGAGTTAAGATGGCTTTGTTGGCATTATTGTCCTCTGAAGAATTTACCTTCCAATTTTCAACTCAAAAAACTTGTTGTTTTAGACATGCAACATAGCAACATCAAACAACTTTGGCCAGATAGCAAGGTAAAAAAAATTTTATACCCTTGATTATCTTTAAACAAATGGAAACCCTTATCTTGACATTTTTTTCTTTGATTTATCAGTTGGTGCAAAATCTAAGAGTCCTAAATCTTAGTCATTGTAAATTCCTGACAAGAACCCCAAACTTCACTGGGTTACCAAGGATGGAGATATTGTTGCTTGAAAGTTGTTTATCTTTGTTGGAGATTCACCATTCAATTGGAGTTTTGGATAGACTTACTTCCTTGAGTTTAAAAGATTGCGGGAACCTTACAAATCTTCCAAGCAACATTTGCAATCTAACATCACTTAAACATCTGAATCTTACTAACTGCTCAAATCTGAAAGAATTGCCCGAGCACTTGGGGAATATGCACTGTCTGAGGGAACTTCATGCTGATGGAACTACTATCAAACAGTTACCATTTTCTTGTAGGTTTTTGAAGAACCTTACCATCTTATCTTTGGGAAGATGTAATAGCAACTTACCATCCAAATCTTGGCTCCCGCTTATTATGTCTTGGGTATCACCAAGAAGACATCATGATTCCCCCAGATTTCTCCCACCTTTTATTTCGGGTTTATGTTCCTTAAGAACACTAATTCTCAGGCACTGTAATTTGAATGAAGCGTCTATTCCCACTGATATCGGAAGTTTATCTTCACTTCGACATCTAGATTTGGGGAGCAATGATTTTCATAGCCTACCATCCAGCCTTTGTCACCTATTCAAACTAGATAGCCTCTGGTTAGAAGACTGCAAGAATCTTCGATCAATCGATGAACTTCCTCCTAATCTAGGGATACTACAGGCAGATGCTTGCACATCACTAGAAAAACTACCGAATCTGTCAAAGTACCAAAGATTGGAACACTTGTTTCTTGCCAATTGCAATAGACTGGCGGATATTCAAGATGTAAGGAACCTTGATTCTATGAGATCCACTCATCGGGAACTGTCTAGCATTTTGAACAATGCTATCAAGGATAGTTTGCTCAAGGTCTCTTCTCTCTCTCTCTCTCTCTCTCTCTCTCTCTCTCTCTCTCTCTCCCTCTCTCCCTCTCTCTCATCCATCATCATTTTCATGTAACAGGTACCTTGTAATGATAATATTTACAGCGTCTTCATTCCAACTGGGGAGATTCCCGAGTGGCATATCCATCAAAGAATGGGTTCTTCAATATCTTTCGATATGCCATTTCATGTGGAGAACAGGTTAATAGCATTAACTATTTGGGCTGTTTGTGTTGCCAAAGAAGAAGGTGTAGTAACCACTGCTCCTTTTTATGTTCTATATGACAAAACCAATGGTGTCGAACAGATTCTTAGGTCTACAATCTGTAGCAATATTCCAATAACCCAGACAGAGCATTCGTGGTGGAGCTTTATACCAGCATTTGAATTTTTCCAAATAAAAGGTGGAGAAAGAATGGAGCTCTCTATCAAAATTAGTCCATCCGTAGAAGTGAAGAAGTGTGCTATTCATTTTCTGTATAAACCAGATATTCGAGAAAGTCAGCAGGGACAGTTATCATGTGCCAATACAATTGTACAGGATAATGTACATCCAAAGAGAAGTCGCGATGTTGATATAAAGGAAACGGGCAACAACTTGGAAGAGAAAGATGGTAAAAGGTTGAGGATTGAGCCAGATTCAACTTGAATTTGAACACAAAGTACTGTTACTTGAATTGTGTTTAAGTTGATGTATGTATCTTAATTTGTATGTTGGTAATTATCAATAATGCCATGCTATTTGTTTTACTTAGTTTTTGGTGGTTTAAATGATTATTGCAAAATTTTCATTTAACGGCCATTTATCAAAAGGTTACAACACATCTGCATTTTTTTTAGTAAGTAAACAACACTACAAGAAAAAGTGAGTTTTTGAGTCGGATTTTTTTCTCTTTTCTTTTTTTTTTTTTTGGCTTCAGTATAATCTGTCAAAGCAAAAAACATCAATATTTGCATCGGCAAGAGGCCCAAAGCAAAAAAGACGAAATTTTTTTTTCAGTATTGAGCCAAAACAAAAACTTTAGTTCAATACGGAGTCGCTTTGATGTATTTAAGTCTAAAACAATGTCATTTTATTTGGTACATAGAAAATAAGTGTGGGAAATCAGTTACATCAAAACGACGTAGTTTTATGTTAATTGTCACAAAATGGCGTTCCTTGGAACCCTAAAAAACCAACCTTCCCATTAAAATGTCGTTGTTTTAGGTGCACTACAGCCAAATGGTGGGTTAATGTAAAAATTAACTTAGACGCTTTTGCATTTAGACAAATTTGCAATTAGTTTTGCTTAATAAACATCAAACTAATAAGACATCTACCAATTTGAAACTTCTATAAATATATTTAGCCCCCAATTCTATAACATCCAATGTTTTAAAACCCAATTTGGTATGGCGGGTTTACTTGGTGACCCATTGTCTAAACCAGGCCGGCTCACCTATTGGATCATTTATGCACCAAAACCAGAGTAAACCTAGTAAACTGGAAAAAACCCTGTAAAATTGTCCAATCGGATGAGTTCACTCAAATCGACTAGGTGTTTTAATTTACTATAAAAACTGAATTTTGGGCACTTTTGGGCATTTTGCCTTGCCCTAAATTGTTTCCCCTAGCCCCCTCTTCTTCGCGATTGTGCACCACTCGACAACTAGACGATGAGAGCTTCAACCAGTGTGAGTCTCGCTCTGTCTGACTCTCAGTCTCTCTCTAGTCTTTACAGTGGTGTGCACCACAAGTTCAAAAGGGATTTAGGCCAACCAGTAAGGGACTCGATCGAAGACTCAAAGGGGGAGAAAACTGAGATCTACATTTCAGCTCTAGACTGGTTTTTCATATTTCTTCTCGTGCAACCAAGTAGAAGAAGTAACCATGTATTGAACCTTAATTTATTTTTAATCAAAATTGTTGAAAGTTACAATATTGAGAACTTTTTCGTTAATAAATCCAGGCAAGGACTTTTTAAGTCATTAAATCCAGCTCAACTCATCTTTTTTGTCATGTAGTTCAAACTAATCTTAATCTTTTTTTTATATTAAAATATTACCCTTGCTCTATAAACTTCACAAAATTCCAACAAACATTCAACGATACAAAGTCAAATCAATAAGATCATCCAAAATCCCACATATCAAACAATTGATTTAGAAAGTGGAGAACATAGATGCACAGACATTCAAGGTTACATATTGTGATGTAGAATGTTTGTTTGAATTTTGTGAAATTTATAGAGCAAAGGTAATATTTTAATATAAAAAAAAAGATAACATCCCAAATCCCACATAAAAAACAATTGATTTAGCAAATATCTATTAAAAAATGATGAACTCAATAACAGTGAACTAAAAGACACTCTTTACCTCTATCTTTCTGTGAATGTATGTCATCATTTTTTAGTTCACTGTGGTTGTGTTCACTGCCCTGAGTGTGCCTTCAAGCCACCTCCCAAATCCACCACCTCCCTCTATTTTTCACCCCCAATGAAGTTTTACTCTTTTAAAATTCACTATTTTTTAAAATTTGTTGAACTAGAAGTTTTATTTTATTAAAGTTCATTGTTTTTGTAGTTCTCTTTTTATGTTATTTTCAATATATAGTAGTGGTGGTAGTGGATGGTGGTGGGTTGTGGGGGTGGTATGTGATGGTGATAATGGTGGTGGTTGGCAGCGATGGTGGCAGTGGGTGGTGGTGGCGGCAATCGATGATGATGGTGGCGAATGGTGGGTTTTGGGTGGTGATTATTGGTGGCAGTAGTGGTGGTGGTGTTAGTGGATGGTGGTGGTGGTAATGGTTGTGGAGGGCGACGATGGAAGGGGCGTTAATCGAGATGAACTATTTGGGCTCAGTTCAAGCTTAACTTGTGTTTTAAATGAGCTGAGTTTGAATAATTTTTTAATCTCGTTTAGACAATAAACCTAAAAAAGCTCAGCTTGAGCTTGCAAAGCTAGACCTATTTATATATAAAATAGTCAAGCAACTCGGGCTCGGCTCAGTTTTCGAACAAGCCAAGCTTGAAAATTTTTTTAGGCTTGCTTAAAAAAAGGAGCTCGACAGGCTCAGGCTCAATCTCGCAAAGTTTGACTTAATTAACACCCCTAGGTGATGGTGGTGGTGGGTGTGTGAGGCGGCGACGTGGTGGTGGTGGGTAGTGTGGGTAGATGGCGGCGATGATGGGTGGTGGTGCTGGTGGGCTTTGGGTGATGATTGTTGTCAGTGATGGTGGTTGTGAGTAGGGGTGGGGGAGGTGATGGTGGGCACAATGGTGATCGCAAATTTGGGGTTGGTAGGCAGCGGTTATGGTGGTGGAAGTGGCGATGGTGGGTGGGGTTGTGGTGGTTGTAGCAATGGTGGGTGGTTGTTGCGGCATGATGGTGGTGGTGGTGGGGCAGAGGCAGCAGTGGGTGGCGGTGGTTTTCAAATAACCTCCTTCATTAACGATGTTTTTGTCAAGTGTTGATTTTATGTAATTTTGGCCTTAAAAGTGTTCAGATTGGACCTAAAGCCAAAAAATTCCCTAAATGTATACATCTCGCCAAATATCCCTTGTTTCTAACCGAGCCCTTTTATCATCAGTTCAAAATTTATTTTTTTTATTATTTTATTATTTATTATGTTTTGGTTGAATTAGTTTATAATTGTACTTCTCGATTTTCAACTAGTAGCAACGGAATCACAAGACCGAGAGGAGCCCACATATGAAGAAGTCAAAAGTTTCACTTATAAAACGCCACTTTTCACCTATACAAAATCACATTTCAAATATAACTATACAAAGTCATTGCTCACCCAAACTTTTTCCATTTTGTCTGGCCTTTTGTCCATCAATGACTAGTAAAATCATTCAAGGTGACCCTTCCTGTTTCTCAATTTCATCTTCTATACCTCACTGGAAGCACGACGTCTTCCTAAGTTTTAGAGGTAAAGACAAACGTAACAACTTCATCGATCATCTTTACACTGCTTTGGTTCAAGCTGGTATTTGCACCTTTAGGGATAAGGATGAATTACCATGAGGGGATGAAATTTCAACAGAACTGTTGAATGTAATATGAGAATGATGATTTCGATTGTCATATTCTCCAAGAATTATGCGTTTTCTGCATGGTGCCTGAATGAGCTTGTGGAGATTTTGAAATGTAAGAGAACAAGAGGACAGCTGGTTCTTCCTGTGTTTTATACTGTAGATCCATCTCATGTACGTAAGCAAAGTGGGAGCTTTGTAGAAGCGTTTACAAGCCATGAAGAATAGTTTGTGACTGAAATGGGGAGGGTGGAGAGATGGAGAGTTGCCCTTACTAAAGTTGCAAATTTATCAGGATGGGATTTAAAAAATGTGGCAAATGGGTAATCAATGCTAGCCTTTCTTGTGCACTAGTTTTCTCTATTTGTAGTAACGCTTTTGTGTGGGTTTATTTGTGTGTGTGTGTGTGTTTGTTTGTTTTGAATGGTTTTGAGTGTAGGTTGGGGAAGCAAATTTAGATTAGGGTATAAGTAATGTTACTCTTCTGATTTAAAATATTAAATGTTATTTTTCATTTTTAAAACACAAAGTTCGTAATTTTTGAAGAAAAATCTGCATGTATCACAAAGAAATGCATCTATATCACGAAAATGGTTAATAGTATATGTTGGACACGTGGTCACTTCCGTAAAAAACACTTGACGAATTATTTGATTAGGAACCAAAGTGATACGAATTAAAACTTTAGGGATCAAGTTGACAAAATTAATACAATGAATGTCAAACTAACTTTTTGAATAAAAAGTTAAAAGCATAAATCAAAGTTCATCCAAAAAATTGTTAAGGAGGTTTTATGCAAAGTGAGCCACACAAATCTAAACGTCACCATGCATCCAGTTGGATTAGATTGTCGTGTTAGGGACATAAGATTGTTACTAACCAATGGATCAGTTGACATCCAAATGATTTGAATCTTTCGCATGGGAGGAATTGGCAAGACGACAGTTGCCAAAGCAGTCTATAATCAAGTTTTCCAATAGTTCGAAGGTACTAGTTTTTTGGGGAATGTGAGAGAAATCTCAAAACAAGTCAATGGTCTAGTTTATTTTCAAGAGCAGCTTCTTTCCGAAATTTTGATGAAACAGAATCTTAGTATTGCAAGCATTGACAAGGGAATCAGCTGGATAAAAAAAAAGACTTTGCTCTAAAAAAATACTTATTGTTCTTGACGATGTTGATCAAATTAGCCAATTAAATTCATTAGCAAGGAACCGTGATTGGTTTGGCATGGGCAGTAGAATTATTATCACTACTAGAGATGAGCATTTGCTGAATGAAGTTAAAGTAGATTAGAAATATGAAGTGAAGGAATTGAACTACAATGAATCTCTGCAACTTTTCAGTTGGCATGCCTTTAAACAGACCATCCCATTAGAAGGTTATTTCGAACTTTCAAATGGCATAGGGCTTCCGTTAGCTGTTGAAGTTTTGGGATCCTATTTGTTTGGAAGAACCATACCAGAATGGATAAGTGCAGTTGAGAAATTAAAACACAATCCTCACAATGAAGTTCAGAAAAAACTTATAATAAGCTTTGGTGCACTAGATGATGATCTAGTAAAGGATATTTTTCTTGATATTGCATGCCTTTTCATCGGGATGGATAAAGAATATGTCATTTATATATTGAATGGTTGCGGTTTCTTCTCGGAAATTGGAATCAGTGTTCCAATTAATAGATGTTTGCTAAAAATTATTGAACAAAATCAATTGAGGATGCATGATTTACTACGAGATATGGCACGAACAATTATTTGTGAAGAATCCCCTAAAGAGACTGGAAAGCGTAGCAGCCTAGAACATAATTCTTGTTGGACAAAATTTTGCAGCCTAGAACATAATTCTTGTTGGTGTATCCATTTTATTTTTTTTCACATACACACATAATTTGGGACACACACAACATTCTTGTGGATTTGTGGTTGATGTCTATATGTAGTAAGTTACTTATCAAAAATATATTTTCCCTTATGAAATTTAGGGCACAAATGAAATTGAAGGTATTATCTTGAACTTGCCGATCTTAAGTGATAGAGATTCGAGGCCTGAACAATTTTCAGGGATGGAGAAATTAAGACTATTTCAAATCAACAATGTGCATCTCTCTGGAAGCTTTGAATGTCTATCTAGAGAGTTAAGATGGCTCTGTTGGCACTATTGTCCTATGAAGTATTTACCTTCATATTTTTATATCAAAAATCTTGTTGCTTTAGACATGCAACACAACAACATAAAGAAACTTTGGCTAGATGTAAAGGTATGAATTGATCTTAATTTGGAAAATTTGCCTACTTAC